ACACACCTAATTATTGTTTATTAAGATTGATAAGAAAAAATATTTTCTCATTTTACAGCAAGAAATTAAGGGTAAATATTAATATCCCGATGAAGACGGAATTAAAGGTTGAACAAGAAACTACGCACAAACACATAGAAGAAGATAGGAAACTTTTAATTCAGGCTGCAATTGTTAGAATTATGAAAATGCGGAAAGTATTGAAACATCAACAGTTGGTGGCAGAAGTATTGAATCAATTAAGCTCTAGATTCAAGCCTAGAGTACATGTCATTAAGGTGAGTTTCTTAAAAAGATTTTATTTTCAAATATTAATTTTATTCTTCTATTTTCAAATATATATATGTACTGTTTATACAGATTTTTGTTGACACACACGCACACACACATTTTTTATATTTACTTTAATCTTTAATAATCGGTTCACAAAATTTTAAAAAGTACATGTTTTAAAAAATTTTATGGATACAATATTATTGATCAAAGTAAATATAATAAGAAAGCAACAAAATCATATGAATGTTTCAATGAAAACTGGATACTCTTCTTTCAGAAATGTATAGATATTTTAATTGAAAAAGAATATTTGGAACGTACAGAGGGTCAAAAGGACACTTACAGCTATCTGGCATGATCAGTAGGCAATTTTAAAGCAACGATACTCCATATACTGGAAACAAAAATAACTTTAACATACAACATACATGATCACTCATTATCATTGCTATATACGTATCAAAATATTTATTTAAGGTCTCGAATGTAATTCCCTGTATTTTTATTCTGTACATGAATACCTTTGTACTATACTGTCATTCTGGTCGCATTTAGAAGTTTGGCTTTTTATATATCTTTTAAGATATATGAATATAGCATAAAGATATTAATAAAATTATTTCGTAATCAGTGCTAGATGTGTTACTGTCTGTGCTGGTTTTTACATAAAATGAGACACACCGCTTCGCTGTAATAAAATGTGTGTCATAAAACATTTAAGATCTTAGATAATCTATAGAGAATTATATAAAAGACTAAAAAAAAGAATGTATTTTTATTGCATTGCCAATATCATCTATATTTTCTGGTCTTTCAACTGCAAATTATTGTAACTGAAAATTATTTTTTACAAATTAAAAAGAATATTGTAAATGGAACAAATGAAATGTGTTATGTCCAATGTTATATACAAAAATTATTATAAGTTGTACTTGGTTACACATAAAGAAAACACGTGAATTTCCCACGCGTACAATAAGATGTACTATATAATTAAAAACAATTGTACAAAATTTCTGTGAGCACATAGATAGTAATGCATTTTAGCAAAAGTTCAACTTTTACAGTAGCACACATAAGCCAGAAAATTTTATAACAATGTATGTAAAATTCTACCATTATAATCATAGCACTTGAAACGTTTTTATGCGATAGCATAATTACGTCAACTATTTGTGTCCTAGATAGAATATTTGAAATTACAAATCTAATGCTGAATTTTTTTTTAATGAATATACTAATACCGTATGATTAGCAATTGATCAAAAAGATCAATATTACAAAATGAAATTTAAGAGTAATTTTTGTATACAAAGTTCGAAGATAACAACTTTAATTATTATTTTGAGTCAAAATAGAATTTGAAAATTAATATGTCCATTCTTTACTTACTGTTAATTAATCTCGAGTAAATTTGTTTATATATTTGTAAAATTTTTATTGCTGCGAGAGATGTAAGAAGAGACGTAAGAAACGCTTAGTGTTCGAGGTGCAATATGGAAACAGTAAGAATATCTATGATATAAAGTGATTTAAAAAAAAGGAGAAAATTAGTAATAAATGAAGCAAGTTATACGAGCGGTGCTTATGAATTTTAACTTTAGTGCCCTCAATAAAAGTCAGAAAGAGTTGTAGATCTTGTAATTATAAGCGCTCAATGATTACGATCATTTCGAGATTGACTTTTAAAACTCGATGTATAAAACTAAATGAAAAAGAGAGAGAGAAGTTTAGAACTTTTAAGTACATGCGATATGATTCTAGATATATTCAGATATTAATGACATTTTCTCACGGCATATTGCCGATGATAATAAAAATCTGAAGAGTGAGAGGAATAAATTGAAAATTATTGTAATTAAACTGTATTGACATATTTGCTCGCAGGGTGAGTAGGCTACATATTTAGCTACAGAAATATGAACTTAATATATTTTATTAAAGTGTACTACGAATTTTTTTCAAATTTTTTTTTTACAAAAGTATTAACATAATGTTATTCAAGCTTATAGGTTGTGCAGAAGGATACTGATTATATCATGCGGTCTTTATCCATGTACTTGTGATATTTGCTATTATTTAATATTTCTATATAAAAGAAACAATTTTTTTGAAAAATTATGAAAATAAATTTTGACTTTTTTTACAAGCTTAGACGTGTACTATTACATACATGTCTAGGTAAAAAATGTACATCCTTTATCGCAAAATAAGCACATATTTGTGTGAAATTTTAAAAAGTTGCATATTTTTCAAATTTATTTTAAGTTTGTCGCGTAACACAATTTTTTATGCGTCGCGATTAAAAGCAAATATTGAGTATTTATATTCATGCTTACATGGTCATATTAACAAAATATGATGCTTCGAATTTTTGTATACTCAGAGTTTGTTATCAATTATTATTTCTTACACTAAATACAGAAATTATGTAAATAAATCGAATAAGATATCTGAAACTGTCAAAGTAAAATAGCTTGGATTTGGTGTAGTTGCAATGGAAATCAAATTTTTTTTAGAGAAGTTTTTTTTGTTATTACTTTGTTTTGAAGCAATCTTCTAGGAAGAAAAATAAAAAATAATTTTAGATTAAATTTTAATTTTATCTACAAAACATATGATTTCCATAGCAACTGCCAATTATCTGATTTTTTTCATAAGTACCCAAACAACAAGTGTGTGGAGAATAAATTTTATAATAAGCGTCTGCTACTTACTTTAATGGCTAAGAAACAGATTTACGCAACACTTGCTGTATGTAATGTTGTTAGCATATTGCATTGGTAGAAATTATATATATAACAGAATTTGGTAATAAAAAAAATATGAGCAAAGTTAAGCATACAGCTACAGTTGAATGCAAATTAATGACAAAAACAAAACACGATATAAAATGTAAATGTATCATACTAAATTGCAAACTTTGTTGATAGAAAAGAAGTTTAATATAAAGTTGATTATAGATGAAAATTAGTATCTTCTTAGAATATCTGCTTTTTAATTTCCAATTTTTTATTCTATATAAAAATAAAAAGAATAAAACATTCAATAATAAATTAAAATATTTACGTACAATCCCCGAGGCGAGGCATGGACATTCTGTTATCAACCTGGTAGAACTACTGCAGTATATTGATGTGAATATAATTGGTACTAGTTGCCGTTTCTGCTTAAATCTGCCACTTATCTGCTAGCAATTATTGATACTTTGTTTATATGTTTTCCGAATATGTTACAAATGCTATACGAATCTTCCTACGGCCTATTTACACAGATATATGTTTATTATTTTATATAAATTCAACTAAATTACTGTAAACATATGCGCGCATGTGTACGGAATGAAATAGAAATATGAAATATAAATGTCCATAAGATGAATAAATAATATCCCATGAATTATAAATATCTTTATTGAAAAAGTATAAAATATTTCGATTCGACATTTGATTTTAACACATGAAAATACAAGCTTTATAAAAAGATATACTTATCTTTTTATAAATATTTATAAATATTTTTAATATGTATATATATATATATATATATATATATATATATATATATATATAACTTTCATGTGTGTGTGTGTGTGTGTGTGTGTGTGTGTGTGTGTGTGTGTGTGTGTGTGTGTGTGTGTGTGATTTATGTGTTGTAAACAAATAAATTAGATCCAACATTTAATATGTTAGAGTATATTTATACCTTTTCTTCTGTCTGGCTACATTTCAATGTATTTTTAAGTTTCTCGTTATTTTCTAGTGATCTATTTAATCTCATATCAAGATTAGTTGATTGTTGATTTAACATTTTTATTTCTTTTTTAAGACTCTCTAAATCCTATAGAAGAATATCTTTAATGAATTAATGACTTATAAATCAATTATAAAATACAACATAATTACAATAAAAAAGATATAGAAATACCTTTTTTAAAGTAGTATTTTCATTTTTTAAAACTTGACAGTCTGATAGTACATCTGAATTTAAATTTTCCAGTTTTGTAATTGTATCATTTAATGTTTCTGTTTGGTTACGTAGTTTAATTTGAATATCTTCAAGTTTCTTCTTTTCCACTTCTAATTCTTTACAACAATCGCACTATGTGTATGAATACAATTGTTTCAGAAATTTATTTTCATCTTTTTTTATTAAAATTATTTGTATTTTAATTTTTCCAAGTGCTTTCTTATTTATAATTGGTGCAAGTATTGTACAATAAGGTAATAACATACAATCCTGAACAACGAAATGAATGAAATGAAAAAAATTACCTTATTATTATACTCAAGTTGTACTTCTTGTAATTTTTTATACAGCATATCTATCTTGCTTTTGAGTAAAATTATAATAGCCTTACTTCCTATGTTATCATTTTTTGGCGAAATCTCAGTGTTATCGATGCATTCTTTTAATGGAATTTCAGAAACTTTATTCAATGTTTTCAATTGTTTATTTATATTTGATATATCTTTTGGACGTATACGTTTTGCATTTTTTATCACAATATTTGAAGATGTTTGATTTATATTGTCAAGCAAATCATTGGTGGCACAAGCATGCACGATTGAATCTACTTTTTTCATTATATCACATGTCTTCAATTGAAGATTACGATTCAACCTGTGAAACTCTTTTTCCTTCGCTAATAAATCATCAGACATATTTCCAAAGTGAAATTAATTCGTAATCGTATTGTACTTTCGACAAGAGATAAACAATGATTTTTTTTGTTTTTTAGTTTTTTTTTAGTTGGAGCTGGCTTAGCAAGTTTTTAAATTAGATTATAGATTAGGCCAATATTAAGTAATATAAACAAAAATTGAATAAAAATTAACACAACTTTTTAGGAAGAAATGTGTTGAATTGTAGCCATGGTTACATTTTCAGTTTTTGGTGAGGATTAGACTTGGCGGAACATCATGAATTTTAATAATTTTTTTTAAAACTAAATTGAATCTATAATTTAAAAAATTCGCGAATAAATATCGATAAGAATTAGCTATTATGCATATATATATATTTATGTTATTTGTGATTTTTCCCTAATTTTAGAATCTGTAGTAATATATTTATTGGACGTAAGAAAATTTCTTTCATAATTAGAACCTAAAGAACATTGCACGTGAAAAAATTTTTGTCGTAATCGTAAGACATAAGCAAATTGATCAATCAATCGAATATTTTTGAACCATGAGAAAAACAAGTAAACTCTGGTTGGTCAATTTGTTTACAATTTTATAATGCATGACGCTCAACATTGCTCGCATTGTCGATGGCCAATTTAAAATAAAACTTTTTTATTGGTTGATCTAGCGGAAAATCTCCAGACATCGGTCTCTAAGTGGTTATGTCCAATTGTAACGTGGTCAAACGAGACGCTCCCACTTTTACAAGCACTTTTATCAATAAAAGAGAATTCAGAATATGGACTTTATACACATAATTATAAATTTGTCTGAATAGGCCCTTAATCTTCTTATACACAATTTGCAATCCAATATTCACTGTCATTTCCGAAAATATAATTTATGTCGCATATATTATAGATCTCTAGTACTAGTAGCGAACATCGGAACGCAGTCATAACCTTAAGCTATTCTGATGCCGAGCCGACTTCTCGTGTCATATGTCATGTCATCGTAATCTCGTATAATCATTCGTTATCAATAATATCGAGACAAACAAAACGTAGGACGATTTAAATGATACTGTAAAGTGCAAAGTGCTATTCGCCAAGTACATCGGTACAAACTTACATCGGTTCTTATCCATCAAAAAAACCGACGCAATTGCGATCAAAACGTGGCGTATCAAGCATGGATAATGGTACGTCACTGTCAACGTTTTGATTAAAGATGGAGGAGACGAGGGACGAGAGATTTCTGTCGCGAAGACGTACCGCCGCATTGAAGGCTTTTAAAGTCAAAGACGAACGAGTGGCCACCTTCAAAAAGGTACGTGAATTACTATTATACGATCTTGCAGGATTATTACTAGTGTGTTGTCCGAATATGTTTGATCCTTCATCCGTAATATTACGTTGATAAACGCATCGTACACAAATAAATCTCATTAAGATATTAACGTTCTTGTCTCAGGTGGCAGCGATTTTGCAAAAATCCGAAATCGACAGGACGGCAGAGGAAACCGGGATACTTGCTTCCTGCAGCGATGTAGTGAAAGAGGTTAACTTACGGTAATGGCTACATTACGAGCAACTAATTTTTTTAAATAATTATTCGTAGCTACTTGACGTTGTCGTCCATAATTAAATTTGCCTTTAAACAGAGTTAAATTTTTGTATAGGTATTCCTATATTATTTCTTTTTTCAATTTTTGCGACTTTATGCAACAAATAAATTTAAATTTTACCTGTGGACCTAGTTTTTCATTTTCTGGTTAACCATTGACTTATGATTTAGATTTAATCTGATATGACGTAAAAATTATGATTTTCTATTTGTGATTAATGAGTAAATTGATAAAGCTAATCGTTAAAATTATTAGTTATATAAAATGATCAGTTCAGTGATTAACTATAAATAGAAAAATAATTTTTATATTATCATCAGATTAAGCCTAAATCACAAGTTAACCAGAAAATAAAAAAATGGCCACGAGGTATTGAAGCAAGATATAGAAAAATTATAATTTTAATAACATCTATATGTTTTATACATTATATCTTCTGTTGATAATTCTATTGATAATTCACAGTCATAATATAAATATAATTTAAATAATAATTTAAAATATAATTAATATGAGCATTGATATGTTATTTAATATATAATCTTAAGTGAAATATATAACTATTTATAATTTCTTTGTGTTTATTTTTATAGACAAGAGAAACGAGATAGAATAAAGGCACGATTAGAGGAAGTTGAAGATGCATCTGAGATCTTGGAGGAAAAATGTATGCGCTTGGCAGCAGCAATCAGTAGAGCAACGTCACTCGCAGTTTACACTGGTGCTGGTATCAGTACAGCAGCATCTATTCCAGATTACAGAGGAACTAATGGAGTTTGGACTCGTATGCAGCAAGGAAAAGATATCGGGTAAGAATTGTCTTAATTTAATCTTGTGATAAATAATTTTTTCTTGTCTTGTTATTTTTTAGTAAATCAAGACTATGCGGTGAAATTTAAAAGGAAAAATAAAGTAGAGAAAAATAATGTAGAGAATATCACATTCTTGTTTTTATTTATATTTCTTATTTCATATCAATTTTATTTATCAATATCATTTGTCTACACTTTACATCATATATATCTTTATCAATGGCACAACATAACATAAAGATATAAAAGCCTATTGACATTACATATAAATATTTAAATATGAATAACTTTGTATTATATTTTGTTATTTTCAAGGAATCACGATTTAAGTCAAGCTGAGCCAACATTGACGCATATGGCCATTTATGCGTTGTATAAAGCACGAGTTCTCAAACATGTGGTTTCTCAAAATTGTGACGGATTACATTTACGCAGTGGTATTCCGCGTAATCTTTTATCTGAAGTTCATGGTAATATGTATGTAGAAGTTTGTAGAATATGCAAGCCATCTAGAGAATACTGGAGACTTTTTGATGTTACTGAAAAGACTGCGCGATATCAACACGGTACAGGAAGATTATGTCACAGATGTAATTCAACATTGCAAGATTCAATTGTCCATTTCGGCGAAAGAGGTAATCTGCCTTGGCCAATCAATTGGAGCGGAGCAACTAGAGCTGCGAAACAAGCAGATGTCATATTATGTCTGGGTTCTAGTCTGAAAGTTCTTAAAAAGTATCCATGGTTGTGGCAAATGGATAAGCCCGTTCAGAAAAGGGCTTCCCTTTACATTGTCAATTTGCAATGGACTCCAAAAGATGAGAATGCAGTTTTAAAGATAAATGGAAAATGTGATGAAGTGATGAAGAAAGTTATGAATCATCTGGGATTAGAGATACCACATTATAATCGCACAAAGGATCCAATCTTTTTTCATGCAGTGAAACTTCAAAACTGTGAACAGCTTACTACGACTCAACCATGTCTTGAGGAGCCAGAAATCAAGAAGGAACCTTTAAGCCAAAGCAGTGATGAGAATGTTAAATGTACAGTGCAACGAACTGATGAAGAGGATTGCATATCACCTATAGCAATGGCTGATATAACAACTACCTATCCAGCACCCTTTTTTGCCGCATTACCATTTTTATCTATGGGCTTGCCATTTCCCCCCATGTACATGTATCCTCAATTGACACCATTATTTTATTATCCCTTCATACAAGTACCAAATACGCCGGCAGAAGCACCAAAGCCGAAGCCAGCTTGTTCATTTTGTATGGAGTATGAGGGCTCCCTTACTTGTTTGTATTATCAACGTGATGGGGACTGTCCAGTACCAACAAAAACCGAAAATGAGCAAAAACAAGAAGAAGATGCATTAGTAATTCGCGCGGACACTCCTGTAGCATCTCCAAAGAATCCAGGTTGGTTTGGTAAAGGATACCGTAAGGGTATGAAAAGAAAGCGGTAGCATCCACTTCATATATGTGTCATCTATGCAGTATGCTTGGTCAACTATTTACTGGGATTACAATATAATCTTATACATCATATATTTACATATATAAGTATTTAAAGTCTCCATATCATAAAAAAATTCGTGCATATTTTGTAGGTTTATAGCAATTTGATTCCAGTATTCAAAGCTTTAAAAAATAGACTGAAATTTTGGAAGTATTTCCTAATAATGCAAACAAAGGCAATTAGTTTTGTCTTTTTTAAAATAGATCATCTTATTTTGTCCAATTTTTATAAAATTTGAATCTTTTTTTCCGAATAGGCAAACAGAGCACACATTTAAGTTTTGAGTAATAATTGTCATTAATTAACAGTGAAGCATTATTTATCTATCTTACTATTAAAATCTTTTTTATGGCTCAGTCATCTGATTAATTTTTTCTCGCTATTATTTATATGGCAATCAAAAAAGGTTTCTATAATTTGTGCAAAAGATGAAAATATTCATAATTAAGTTCAAGTTTCTCTTTTTTGAAAAATACCTACTTTTTATCGAATACTTTTATCGACAATTTTGGAAAGTTTGCCAATAAGTAGATAAAATATTACTGCAAATACATAAATATATATTATATTGTAATCAACTGAATCATTTATTGTTAATTTTACTACATCACATCATATATCAGACAATGAATGAAACAAGAGGTATATAAATACCAATTTAAAGTAAACATTGATACCTAGTATAATTTGATTCATTTGCATAATAAAATAGAATTATATTATCATTTTCAATAAATATCATAAATATCGAAATACAACGTAAAATCGAATATACAACATGATAGTGAATCGACCAAATCACAGTGATATGGTATAAAATATCCTGCACATACATACATACATATATACATACATACATACATACATACATACATACATACATACATACATACATACATACATACATACATACATACATACATACATACATACATACATACATACATACATACATACATAGCATACAACTA